GACACCAGCGGGACACCGGCGGGACACCGCGGGCCACCGGCCGCCCGGAAGGGAGACATTTGGTCCGGCCGCGCCTCAGCCACAGGAGACTTTCTTCTCGCCCGCCCACGCAGCTTCGCCTCGCCCGCACGCACGGCACGCACGAACACGAAACCGAAATCGATTTCCCGGTAGGGGGGCTCTCCGTTCCACTTCGATCTCACCCCCTCACCTCCGATACAACCGTGCCCCTGCACGGAGTGGGCCTGTCCTCAGGTCCCTTGTAGTCCTCAGTCATCTGGATTCAGGATTCTCAAAAGGCCCGGACCCAAAAATCCCACATCTCTTGGGGCCTCGCGCGGCTTCTCGCATGACTCGTTCGGAGCCTACGGGGCCCCGAGACGGGCCAAGAGGGCCTCGAGAGGCCCTCTTGGTGGTCCAAGAGGGCTCCGGGTCGCCGAGCGATCGGTCCGAGACGCCCAGTTCGGCCTCCAGACGGCCGAAGAGGCCTCCAAGACGCCCAGAGAGGCCTCCGAGAGGCAAAACTCACGGATTCTCATTAGAAAGATTTTGGCGTTCCCACCCTTTCGGCTTCCCGACGCTCCCAGACGGCCCAAAAGGCACCCAAGATCGCCCCAAGAGGCCTTCGAGAGGGCCCGAAAATGGCACAAGAGGGCCCCAAGACAGCCCAAGAGGCCTCCAAGACCGCCCAAGAGGCTCCCAACACGGCTCCAAGAGGGGGCCCAGACGGGGGACCCGAACCGACATTTCGAGCCCTCGACCGCGAGAGCCCCAGGAGGCCCCTAGAGGCCTCCAAGAGACCTCCAGAGGCCACAAGAGGCCCCCAGGAAGCCCCTAAGAGGCCCCCGAGAGGATCCCACGAAGCCCCAAAGAGGCCCATATCCCATATCCTCATATTCTTCCCGCTCATTCCTCGCCTACACTATCTAAGTGCGTGTCGTGCCTGTGTCTCTAAGATTTAAGTGCGTGACGTGTCTGTGTCTCTAAGGTTTAAGTGCGTGTCGTGCCTGTGCCTCTGAGGTTTAAGTGCGTATCGTGCCTGTGTCTCTGAGGTTTACGTGCGTCTCGTGCCTGTGTATATATGGTTCAAGTGCGTGTCGTGCCTGTCTCTCTAAGGTTGAAGTGCGTGTCGTGTGTGTGTGTGTGTGTGTTGCTAAGGTTTAAGTGCGTGCCGTGTCTGTGTCTCTAAGGTTTAAGTGCGTGTCGTGTGTCTGTTGCTCAGGTTTAAGTGCGTGCCGTGTCTGTGTCTCTAAGGTTCAAGTGCGTGCCGTGCCTGTGTCTCAAAGGTTTAAGTGCGTGTCGTGCCTGTGTCTCTGAGGTTTACGTGCGTGTCGTGCCTGTGTCTCTAAGGTTGAAATTGAAGTGCGTCGTATGGTGTTTGGGGCATGGTGTTCACAAGCGGCGCCTGGGCCACAGAAACCCCCACCGGGGCCACTGGGCCACAGACAGCGCAAGGGGGGCCACAGAAAGCCCAAACGGGCCACAGAAAGCCCCAGCGGGCCACAGAAAGTCCTTTTCTCGTGCTCCCCCCCCCCCTGGGCCAGACCCCCTCTGTCGCTGCCCTTGAAAGAAGGCCAGAACTCATCCCCCGAGCCCTCGGTCCTCGACCCTCCTCCTCCTCCTCCTCCTCCTCCTCCTCCTCCTCCTCCCTCCTCCTCTTTCCTCCCCGCCTCCTCCTCCTTCCTCCTCCTCCTCCTCCTCCTCCTCCTCCTCCGCCTCCTCCTCCTCCTCCTCCTCCTCCTCCTCCTCCTCCTCCTCCTCCTCCTCTTCCTCCTCCTCCTCCTCCCCCTTCTGCCGGGGACGACGGGCACGAGGAACAGGACGGCGAGGGAGGGCGCGGGGAGGAGGGTGCACGAGCAGGAGGACAGGGACGAGGAGGACGAGGAGCACGACGACCTTTATGGGACGCACAGAGACGTACTAGTACAACACGTTCTCCTTGGAGGTGCACGTCCAACCCAAACATATAGTAGACCCATCTAGTAATATCGTTTCCCGAGCGGTGTGGCCAAAAAGCGCCCGCCACGACGCATATACTATAAGATTTCTCGATGCGCGCATCGCTCTCGGGAGGAGACGCACATATAGTATAAGCATGTTGGGTGACGCCGACCTTACGCTCCGGGTCATGGGCGGCCACGAGTTGCCGAGAAACCGAGAGCCGACCGAACCGATGACGAAACCGAAACCGATCGAAACCGAAAGGGGGCCTGCAGAACCGAATCAGCCGACCGAAACCGACCGAACGCGAAAACCGAACTGCAGGGTCACACGGCGCAGCCACCCCCAGGACCCGAAAATCAATTTCTCGAGCTCCGGAGCCCCCGGCAGCCGAAAAAACATTTTTCGGGGCCCGAATAATTGTTTTTCTCTCCCCGGGTTTTCGGCGCCTCCAGGGAGCCTCCGGAGCCCCCCGGAACCGAAAAAACATTTTTCGAGGCTTGAAAAATTGTTTTTCTCTCCCCGGGGCCTTCGGCGCCTCCAGGGAGCCTCCAAAGCCCCCGAAAGCATTTTTCGAGGCCTGAAAAATTATTTTTCTCTCCCCAGGGCCTTCGGCGCCTCCAGGGAGCCTCTGGAGCTCCGGAAAGCCATAAAAGCATGTTTCGAGACCCAAAAAATTGTTTTCCTCTCCCCCGGGGCCTTCGGCGCCTCCAGGGAGCCTCCAGAGGCCCCGGAAGCCGAAAAACATGCTTCGGGGGCTGAAGAATTGTTTTTCTCTCCCCGGAGCCTTCGGCGCCTCCATGGAGCCTCCGGAACCCCCGCGAGCCGAAAAACCATTTTTCGAGGCCAGAAAAAATGTTTTCTCTCCCCGCGCTGAGATGGCCGCTGTGGTTGTTTTGCACTTGGCTCAGTTGTGAATGGTTATATATTGCTTGAGTTTAAGCGGCGTAACTTGGTTAGCGTATCTTGGTTAGGGGGCTTAGGCTAACTAGGTTAGGCGGTTCGGCTAACTAGGTTAGGGGCTGGGCGGGGGCTTCGGCTAAATAGGTTAGGGGGTTCGGCTAACTAGGTTAGGGGCCCAAAGCTAACCAGGTTAGCGGTCGTGGGTCTGGTGCGTTTTCGTAGTGCCAGTGGAGCTTTTTTGGCTTCAAGGCTCAGACTTTCGAACCTCGCAGTCGTGCACCAGCAGCGAACAGCCTGCCCTCGCAGACGAAAAGTCACCCTCCCTTCCCGTCCCCCCCACCCGTCCTACCTCCTTTTTCTCCTCTGTCCTCCTCCTCCTCCTCCTCCTCCTTCCCCTCCTCCTCCTCCTCCTCCTCCTCCTCCTCCTCCTCCTCCTTCTCCTCCTCCTCCTCCTCCTCCTCCTCCTCGTCCTCGTCCTCCTCCTCCTCCTCCTCCTCCTCCCCCTCCCCCCTCTCC